GGCACAGAATCCCCCTGGGGGCTCCTTTAAACTCAGTTTCCAGAACCCAGTCGCAGAGTTTCTGAATTCACATTCTAATGTGTTCCTGGGTGATGCTGCCATTGCCGATTGCAGGACCTCATGTTGAAAACTGCTCCTCTAGGCTTAACCAGTTCTCCAGGGGGCAGGGAAGGAGTCATCTGGCTCCTCTTCACTCTTTGTCTCTGAGCCTTAGTTTCTTCTCCTGGAAATGGGACTGTGAGCGGTGCTGATCTCACAGAGAGGTTAAGGTAAAACGTGCAAATTGTTTAAGTGCGTAGCACACATGTGTGCTCAGTAAATGTTGGCCTCTATTATCTTCAGGACCCTCCTTGGTCTTGTCTGTGCCCCCCAGTGCTTAGCTGGGCTTGGCACATAGTAGGCCTGCAAGAGATACTCACAGTGTGAGTGACTAAATGACTGCACTCCCAGAAGAGCCGCTGCTTTGAAACGCAGAGCAGAAAGCCAGCGAAGGAGGTAGAGGCTAGCACGCTCTGCGCTGGGCTCAGCAGACCCGAGGCCGCTGCAGACCTCTGGGAGCAGTTTCGCTGGAGAGGCAGGAGGGGGAGAGGGCAGCCGTCCCATATGCCACGCCCTTCACATCCCATCCCTTCCATTTAATCCTCACAACTTCCTTATGAGGTAGGTATGTGACCCACTTTTCAGATGAGGAAACTGAGGCTTAGAGACATTTAAAGTCACAGAGCTGGTACAAAGTGGAGGAGAGTTTCTAGTGGATTTTGGAACTTAGACTCAACCTGGATACCACAGAGCCGAAGGTCGCAGGTGAACAGGCCACAAAGCGGCAGGTGTAGACACCGGTGCCAAGGCCTCTGACCGAGGGGCTCAGGGCGTCTTCTCCCGGAGTGAGCGTTTGTGCTTCTCCCACGGGGGTCACCCAGAGCTGCCCCCTCTACTCCTGAACCTCATTCTGTAAAGATGTGCTGTTGGCTCCATTGGGGACCAAGTGACACCAAGAGGGTGACAGCAACCTCAAGTATCAACTGTCTTCTGGCCAGTTTTGCCATCTTAGTGCACTCACATGTGCACATATGCATATACACGCGCACACACACACCTGACACATGCACACGCGGGCGCACATGCACACAGACATGCGCGTGCGCACTATATACGGGCATGCTGAGGAGTAGCTATGCCTTTCTCAGGTGATATTGCCACATTTTCCTGTGTGAGAGAGTGATGTTAGGCGATCAATGAGGAGACGTGATGTTTTACACTTCTAACGTGGTGCCGTGGCTGTGTGTTTGTGTTTGCCCTGCCTAGTTTGTCCAGAAGAGGAAAGGCAGCCCAACCAGTGTCTAAGAACTAGAACTTTCTCCTGAACAGACCAGTTTGAGGTCACAATGGCCTTACAGCCTCCCTCAGGGTGAATTGGGGGGAGAGAGGCTTCAGGTCTGTGTGGGCAGCTGTGAAAATGACTTTTCAACATTTGGCCAAATATTGAGCACCAAATATTTGTAAGCATAACATGACTCTTGGATTTTCAAAACATCAGCAATCTTGTTGGTCAAACCATTATCAGATAAGTGCCTACAAGCCACTCAGGGAAACAGCCTCGCCGGCCATGGTAATTTAAATGACATTGGCCTGCAGTTCTGGAAGAGCCACAAAGGCCCAGTTCCCTGTGTCCCTGAGGGTAGGGGTTGTGACCTACCTTGTGCCAGGTTGTGAGTTAGTCCTTCACAACCTTCCCACATGGAGGCTTTGGCCAGAGATTGGGCAGGTGGATCCAAATGCTGTCACAGAACCCAAATGTCCAGGTTGACCTATGTGGAAATGGTAAATAGAGTGGTTCCCATGGAAACAGACTGCCTGTTGGGTTGTTTTGTTTTTTATTTTTTGCTTGTGTTGCCTTGGCATCGCCTCCCCCTCAGGTCAAGGGTGCAATTTAATTAAACACTTTGGTGCTAGTTTTCCTTTTCCTCCAATAACACTACTCAAAACTGTGCATTGGCTTCCCAAACACTGCCGTGGATGCTGGGAAATGTTCGGAAGCTTACCCCCACTCTCTGTCTGCAGCACCCGTGTGTGGCTGGCTGTGTGAATTTCAGTTCCTCAGTCCCACTGGCCTCATTTCCTGTGCTCACTCCCCACCTGGCAGCTCCTCCCTGTGGCTGCGGCTTCAGGGGAAAGATTCTACCTTGTCAGAGCCTTGAAAACTCATGCAGGTTTCACAGTGATCATATTTAATCCTCCTGATCAACTAATGAGGGTGGTAAAAATCTTTGCAAGCATCCCAAATGTCCATCAGCAGATGAATGGATGAATTGGTTGTGGTATATCCATACAATGAAATATTATTCAACCATAAAAGGAATAAAGTACTGACCACGCCACAGTGCGGGTGAACCTTGAAACCACGCTGAGTGAAAGAATCCAGACACAAAAGACCACACAGTGTATGATTCCATCTGTGTGAAATGTCCAGAACAGGAAAATCCGGAGACAGAAGGCAGATTAGTGTTGCTTAGGGCTGGGGGAAGGGAGGGTGTGGAGTGATCACTACTTGGTACGGGGTTTCTTCTGGGAGTGATGCAAGTGTTCTGGAATTAGATGGTGATGACCACACAATATTGTGACTGCACTAAATGCCACTGAATTTTATGCAAAAGAATAGTTAAAATGGTGAATTTTATGTTATGTGACTTTTACTTCAATAAAGAAAAAAAGAAGGGAGGACAAAAAAAAAATAATCACCTCATTTTACAGATGAGGCAGCTGTGGCTCAGATGTATGGGGACTAAATAAGTCAGAGCCTTGGGAGTAAGAGACAGCGCTCACCCCCATGTGGGAATCTCCTGGACTCCTCCTCTACTTCCCATGGCAAGTTGGTCACTAAGCCCTGTTGATTTGGCCTGTGAAGTGTCCTTGAGACCACCTTTCCTCTCTGCCCCCAGTGCCTTGTTATCTGCTGCCGCCCTGGTCAGGTCCCATGATGGGCACTCACTGAACTCCCCTGGCAGGGGAGGCAGACACACCCAAGCTGCCTAGGTCCTTGGCTTCAAGGCTGGCTTTGTCATTAGTATGTTCCTTGGGGCATATCACAGGACTTCTGAGCCTCCTCTATCAAATGGCGTTTTGGATGTTGAGGAAGACGATGGCAGTAGCTCCCACCCCCACCACCAGCATGGTAATGAGATATAAACATAAATGTGCTTTATAAACTAAGGGGTGCTATGCCTATGTGAATAGTCATAATGATCTGTTTCCTTTATGAAATAAACAGTGGGAGTCCCCTGGCCTGGATTGCGGAGTCTGAATCCGGAGTCTGTGGCCTGCTGAGAACTGTTTCTTAGCTTTCTTGGGACAGGTGCTTCCATATTAGACAGCAGAGTTGTTGTCCGACAGTGCTCAGGCTTTGAGGTACTAACTAGGCAGTGAACTTGATCAGCTCCGTACTCTGTTTCCATTACACTCACAGGGCTCGTGGTCTTAGTGAACACCTGTACATTGTGTGGGTTTCAGCATAGAGGCGCTTAAAAGACTCTAGGAAGAAAGGCTCCTTGATTTAAATAATTATTTAAAATCCTCGCAAGCATCAGCATTACCTGGGTGCTAGTTGTGCAGACTGCAGGGCCCCATCCTAGATCTGCTGAATCAGAATCTGTATTTTTGCAAGACCCCCAAGAGTCAAGTATACACAAATATTTGAGAAGTTTACCCTATACACTGTCAACGGATACCTGAGAGATTTGAAAGCTAGCAACCACAAGCCATTAAGAATATCAGTGCCGAGCAGAGCAGCTGGTACAAAAATAACCCAAACCAGTAGTATCCCCATGTGCCAGCCTTTGCCAGTTAGGGACTGTAAGGAGATCTCACTGATAAGTACAATTAGAATATGAACTATTTAGAAATTAAGCAGAGCAAGGATATGTGATTTCTCAATGAAAAGCACAGAATTTTGTGGAAGACATAAAGGGGGTCCTGATTAAATGGGAACACAAACTATACCTAGAAATTCATTCTTGGCTAGGGGCGGTTCTGCCTCCCAGGGGACATTGGGCAATGTTTAGACACATTTTTGGTTGTCATAGTGGGTTGGGAAGTGTGATACTGGCATCTAGGAGGTAGTGGCCAAGGGTGCCGCTTAACATTCTGCGATGCACAGGGTGTCCCACAACAAAGCATGATCCAACCCACTCTCCTAGTGGGACACGCGCGCACACACACACACACACACGGCACTTTAAAAATTCAAGAACGTATTGGTAACACAGGAAGTGGTGGTCAGGGGAACTTAGCATGGTGGACTGTGGGAGAGATTCTAAAGTGACAATAATGAAAAAAGTGTGGTAATGAAATGAAATGAAATGTAGATGTAGATCAATGGAAGAAAATAACCTCTAGAGTCGTTTTAATACAAATGACTGTATAAGCTGTAGCAAGCAGAACACACCTAATGGAAGAATATTCAGAATTCTTAATGGCCTAGTTGTCTAGCCATAAGCTGGACATGCCCAGTGGGCCCAGAGCTGTATCCCAGGCCAAATAAGGGCCACTTCCTCCCCATCCAACCCCTCCCCTAACCAGGTTCCCATGTCCATGTGGCTTTCCTATTCCTATTCCTAGTGAGGTCCTAAAGACGGCATAAGACGAGTCGACGAACTTCTCCCTAAGTAAGATCCAGGGCTTGAGCCTTGACGGAATGAGAGCTGGGAAGGTTGCAGGTATAGTCACCAAAGAGGCTGGGTTCACATCCCAGCGTGGCTTCCTACTACCTCTGCAGCCTTGGGAGTGTCAGGTGGCCCCTCTGAACCTTCATTTCCTGTCTCTGAAATGGGCATCAAAGCCTCGGTGCTGTTGTGGGAATCAAATGTCAGAATGTTGGCCAAGGTCAGTGTCGGGTCCCAGCTGCGCTGCTCTGGGTGCACTCATGGTTCATAGCCTCTCCTCAGAGATGTGGTTTTGGGGTGTTTTAACCAAACCCTATGCCCTCTTTTTGCTGTTGGCCGCAGATGATATCCGATTGTTCGCCTTTGTGCGCTTCACCACGGGGGACGCCATGAGCAAGAGGTCCAAGTTCGCCCTCATCACGTGGATCGGTGAGAATGTCAGTGGGCTGCAGCGAGCCAAAACCGGCACAGACAAGACCCTGGTGAAGGAGGTCGTGCAGGTAATTGGCCTTGTATTCCTTCTGGACCTGGGGTCACACCCAAAAACGGTCACCATCCAGCAGGGACGGAGAAGGCTGAGTTTGGCTTCTGGGTCTATGATTTAGCTGTGAATTAAGTAAGCCATGCTTTGTCTCTGGACCACTACAGCCATTGGTGAAATGCTACCAAAATTGTTTTCAGCGTGCGGGCTAGGAAACAGGCAGCTGTGTTTGTGATCCTGCCCATTGCCTGCTAGAAGCATGGTGGTTGGGGGTTTGCCTTTGAGGTTGGGGCAGGTGGCTTGTGGAGGAGGGGGCCGTAATGGCAGCCTCTACCCATTTGCATTGTCGATGATCATGGTGGACTCCAGTGGTGGCCGTGGGGAGCTCATGTGAGACTTCATGCACGCCCTCACTGAGTGGTGCCTGGCACACAGTGGGTACTGGATAACACTTATTGAATGAATAGATGTTAACTGTAGGAGAGCCAGTGGGGGCTTTATCATAGTCTTGGTGGCCACAGATTGACAAAGGCTGTATCAGCAATGGCACAGACTCCTGGACTGGATAGCTGGGCACTGGTCATGGCTGACTTATTCCCAAGTCCCTCTTTGCCTGAAAAGAAAGACGGGAAGGCGGGTGTGCCCTTGGTTTTGTCTCTGAGCTTCTGAACAGTTCTACTTGTAGAGCTTTCAGTTGTAAAATAGTTTTCATTCTGGATATAATGAAAAGTGACACTTGGAAACTTCCAAGGTTGGGCACGGGCATGGAGGCACGCTGAGAAGAGGAAATCAGAATTCCAGAAAGAAAAACCAAGGGCAGGAGACTGCGAGAGAGAGTTCTCTTCTTGCCAAAGGGTTCTCCATTTTGCAAAAGGATTTTTGCAAAACCCATGGTAGGGAGGTGTGGTCACTATTGGGTAGGGGTTTCTTGTTCAGGTGATGAAAATATTCTAAAATGACTATGGTGATGGCTGTACATACCCGTGACTATACCAAAAGCCACTGAATTATAAAAAACAAAACAAAACACACATGCAAATAGGCTGTATGCCATGTGGAATCCTGGACTGGGTCGTGGAACAGAATGAAGCCTGGAGCTTAGTTCCAGCACTGTTCCAACGCTGGCTTCCCCACTGTGACACGCATACCACAGTAACACAAGAGGTTAATAATTGTGAAATGGGGTGCAAGGTATATAAGAGCTTTTGGTATTGTCTCTTGCAACTTTTCTGTAAATTGAAAATTATCCCAAAATAAAACTTTTATTTAAAAAATAAGAAAGAAAAAAAATCCCTACCATTCCATTAGCACAGCCTATTTTTCCATCTCCCCCACCAGCTGTGTGGGCGAGCTCCCCCACCGCTCTGCCTTGATGCAGACACAGCCTGCAAATCGCTCTCTGGTCGGCTTCTTTTTTATTTTTTCATTTAACGTAATTTCATAAATTATGCACCTGCAAAGCCTCTGTAATGAATGTTTTTCTGGTGGCTGACTGTCCCATGTCCCAAATATACTGTAATGTACTAAGTGTTCCCCTGTTGTTGGCCTCTTGATTGCCTCTACTTTTTATTTTTATGAATAATGTTTCAGCCAACAGTCTGATACACGCAGCTCCTTTCTCTCTCCCCACAAGTTGTTTCTTTAGAATACATTTTCAGGACGTGCGGTTCCAGAATTAATAGGCATGATGATCATTTTAAAAAGGTATGAGTTGTCAGCCCTGGCCAAGTGACTCGGTTGGAGCATCATCCCATACACAAGAAGGTTGCAGGTTCGATCCCCGGTTGGGGCATATATGGGAGCAACTGATTGATGTTTCTCTCTCGCATCAATGTCTCTCTCTCTCTCTCTCCCCCCTGCTTCCTCTCTCTCTCAAATCAATAAATATACCTTTGGATGAGGATTTAAAAAAAAAGTTATGTGTTGTTAGATTACCTTCTAATAGGGTTATTACTATGCCTCGGACATAGTGAATATTCAATAAATGGTTTTAATGGTAACCCAGTTTTCAGAGGGTAGCCTTTTACGCCAGCAGAATGGAAAATGCAAAAGAATGCACATTCCGTGGGCAACATCTGCTGAATTCTGCCATCCACACTGAGTTAGCTCTCTTCATTGGCTGATCCTGGGAGTGGCCAGGAGAGAAGGGGACAAGCTGGGAGAGAATGTTTGCCAGGTGTCCAATGAGGAGTCTTGCAAATTGTGTTGATCAAATACAATAATGTAAAATGGATCATTTTAGCCATTTTAAAGTATACAATTCAGTGGCATTAAGTACATTCACTGTGTTGGGCAATGATCACCATTGTCTAGCTCCAGAACTATTTCCTCAGCCCCAAAGAAAACTCTGACCCATTAGCAGTCTGCTGACTTCCTTTTAATCTAGAACTCGTCTCAGGTTGGTTTAGTCGGCCAGTGAATAAGAGCGATTTGGGGAAATGTGATATTTTGGTGGGAACCCTCAGTTGATAGTATTGGTTATAATTATTTTGTTTGCAAACTCAATTATATTGCAGCAAAAAGGGAAATTGTCTGGCTCTCCGGCCTGGGACATGCAGAGTTTGCTGGCTTTAGGTGTGGCTGGATCTGGGGCTGAAGCAGGACCTTCCTTCATTTCTCTTTTCTCAGGGTTTGGCGTCAAGTGGCCTCTTAATAGTAAGAAAAATGGTCGGGGCATGATGGTTCTTGTCTTGATCCCAGGAAGAAAGCCCTCCTCCCCCAGTGTCAATCATTCCTTTAAAGTGACCTTGATTGGCTCAGCTTAGGTCATATGCACATCCTGTGGGGCAGGGGGTGGGGCTTCATGACTGGCAGCTCTGGCATGATTCCTGTTAAAAGAAAGGGATGCAGGTATCCGGTGGGGGAGCGGGGATGCATCTTGAACCACAGGTGCAATGTAATATTTTGACCATGACCTTTTGCATTTCCACCTATACATTTAAAACGTTTATAACCTGAAACTATTACAAAACCTCACATTAATACTATGGTTGCAAATATAGCTGGTTAAATTACAAGGGGTCAGTTTTGCTGGCATAGTTGTGTCTTTTGACAGTCACAAAAATCATGCTGATCCTGGCATGTGTGTATGTTTCCCCTTGGTTTAATGGGGACGCGGACCAGATGTCCTCTAAGGGACCTTCCAGATGAGCCATTTTGGGTCACGTGTTTTGGGGACTGGGTCACTTTCCCAGCTTTTGCCATGATTTCCACGTGAAGAATAAGTGGGTTGACTTTTAGTTTAAAATTATTAATGTGCCCTTGGTTTTTATTGTAATAGAAGTAGTGTACCCACATCCTTATGCTCTGTGTGAAATGCAGAGAATGTAGATTGATTTACATCCAGTAAAATCAAGAAGATGGGGCTTCTACCTGCCTAATCGTGAGCAAGTCTTCCTTCCTTCCTGGGCCTCTGTTTCCCCATTTATAAAATGAGTTGGATGAGGTGACTTGCTGTGTTATATTCTGTTCTGAGATATTCTGAAATTTGTCATTTTTTAATGGGGTACTTTGTTTATGACAACATCTTACCTTTAAGCGAACCTTATTTTACTTTGTCGGACAAAAAGACAGGGTATGCAATGGTCTGGAGTGTAGTCTTTTGAGCCAGATGACATGGGGTCAGATTTCAGCTCTACCACATACTGTGTGGCCTTTGGCATATTGCTTACCCTCTCTGGACCTCAGTCTCCTGAGATCCAAAACAGGGGTAATATGGTATCTGCTTCTTTGGGTTGTTGTGGGGATTAAATGAGTAAATATAGGGAAAGTGTTTAGAACCATGTTTGGTGAAGATCTGGAAGGAGTTATAGTTATTCCAGGCTGTCCCTTTTAGACACCAGTGTGATGCCCAGCTTCCTATGCTGTGAATTATTTCCTTAGGAGATGGTGGATCCACATGGTGAGCCGCAGGTATGGGGCATGAATCTTGATCTGAGTTGCCTAATTGTCTTGCAAATGGCTTAGACCAGAGTCAAAACCGTATCAATACCGCAAAGTCCTGGCCTCACCCACCCCTGCCAGTGCTGACTTCAGATGATCCACACCTCACCTGGGGCCTGCTTGTATAGGTGCATCGGCATATGGAGGAACTGAGCCCAGAGCAGTGCATACGACTTGTCCCAGACCCGCAGGCTAGCAAAGCAGCAGGTCCTGCACTGGAGCTCAGTGTTAAAAGTCAGGAGGTTTGACGCTGGGTCTCTTTCGCATGTATGCAGAGCCAGGCTGAGAAGCTGAGCCATGTTAGTGGCTGGGGGAAAACATGGCAAAGAAGACAGGCTGCCAGGCCAGTCGGGCTGGGTGATGGTGACCCCGGGCCTGAGTTCCGGGCATGTGACGATCAGACAGCACACATGGCTGCTTCTCCACTGCTGTCACCTGCTGCACAGAGGCGCCAGGCTGGTGCCGAGGACAAGTTGCCCATCCCCTTGTTGTGGCATCTCTGTGGAATTATGGGGACAGTGCAGTTGCCACCGGTAAGAGACCTGCCTTTGTCAAGCCAGGTTGTCTTGCTTGGAGCCAGCCTTGGTCAGTGACGCATCAAGTTTGCCTTGCAGGATGGCTTTATTCACATGATCTTTTTATTTGCTTTTTAACATATGAATATCCATGGGGCCACGTCCTTGGGGCCAAGAGGGTACATCTCAGCTTTCAGGGTTGGGAAAAGAGCAGAGTGTCTCCCCCCAGAAACCGTGGAGGCAGGAAGGACAGACAGCACGCAATTGTCAGTTCGGTGTGTATTCTGATGGCTTCTAACCCCCAGGAGCAGGGTCGGCTTAAACTCTGGAGCTCATCCCACCCCCCAGGGCCCGATGTACTCAACACTCCTCTGGGAGGGTCACTTTTGTGTGCCAGTGTGGAAATAATATTAGTATCAATAGTTTTATTGTGTCCCTACCATGTGTCTGACACTTTTCAGGACTTTACACTTGGTAAATCATTTATTCTTTAAAAGAAGGCCATTTCTGTCATCATCCCCATTTTACAGATGGGGAGCCTGGGCCTGGGAAAGTTGTGACT